GTGCCCCTGGTTGCAGAGGAGCTCAGCAGAATGGAGTGTGCTGGCCTCTCATCAGCGTTCACACTCAAGGATGAGAGTGACCAAGAATGGAGAAATAAATCCCGGGGACTATACAGGAAAGATGCCCTGGAAGAGATCCAGTTTCAGCAGAGAGAGAGACTCCCCAGTATAGCCTAGCGCTTGTGGGACCAGGTAGTTCAATTTACCTCCCCATTCGTTTTTATTACACCTATTAGAAAAGGCACGAGCACACTGTTGTATTCCCTGGGTGGCCACGATTCGGCATACGAACACGTGGTGACGGCCATCTTAGCATACGAACGCTCAGCTGTGTTTGGTCGTCGATTGTCTGGAACTCAAATCGGACACTCGACTACGTGAACACTGCTAAGACCTCCAGGGTTCCATAACTGTCGAACAAAACATCCGAACAGCCCGCAGTTCAGCTAAATGAATCTCCCGAACAAGAGGATTCATACGAACCCCAGCTCAACCCTGGATGGCAAGGATTTTCGTGTCTTTTACCTCACGAACGGAGACCGACCACAAGGCCAGAATGTGTGGAACTGATTTCGGCTATTGCCTCGTGTGCGGTCGGTCAAATGAACACTTCCACCTAACTCCCGAACCCCGGGTCCAATCTGGGTGATATTTGAATATGTTGCTCACCCAGATCAGGTCTATCAGGGGATACCACATTTAGAGGTGTACCTGGTATATTTGGGGTACATCCAGAAACTGGGGGAAAGTAGGTACAGTATAATTTGGTTATCTGTTAAACTGAGACAAGGAGATGTGTGGGAGGTAACGTGTATCTGATTGGTTATTGTACTAATTATTGCGGGTGTCTCCTTTGCATGGGAGGGATGCATATAAGCAGGGTACGTGAAATAAAATATCAGTTCTGCTCCTGATACTGTGTGTCGTCCAGTCATTGGGAAAGGTGATGGGATAGCCTTGGATTGTTTTGCTGACTGTGGATGCTTTTCTCTTGGGATTTACTAATTGTTCCTGAGCCCTACTTGGATTACCAGCGGAAATAGTTTGTGGGAAATCAGTACGCCGCTACAAACGGATGGCACCTGGAATCCCTAGTAGAGAGGGAAATGATCATAGACAATTCGTATCGGCCACTGTAGTGGTACGCAATGCAACAGGTTGCCTGGTTGGCGGAGGGTGCCTCGCCGGAGGGAGAAGGCCAAGTGGTTGTTTATGGGTGGGCTACTCGACTAGCTCAGGTACCAACCGACAGAAGGTCAGGTACCTGGTTAGTCTTACCTTGGGGGGGAAGAAATGTGATGAACTGAACCTTGTCACAGGCTCTTGGAGAGGCCTGCTTGCTAGCCTCCTGCCTCAGGACTATGGGCCCTGCAATATACCTTGTCTAATGCACTTTAAAAGGCTCCGTTCATATGATTTATGTAGTTTTGTACTCCAGAAAGAGAGACCGACCGTTAGCCCTGTTTCCCTGGAACTGTTTTGGGCATAGGACCATGTGCACGGTTGATCAAAACTATGACTTCCATGGAAATCCTGAATTCCTGAACCGATCTGGGTGATTTTTGGATATGTTGGTCCCTCAGATCGGGGCTATCTGGGGATATGACTTTTGTGGGGTTTCCATGTGTTTTGGGGGTACTTTTGGGTTATTGTAAATATATGTTTTCTGTGCCTGGAGAGAATTGAGTTTAGTACAGTTCCTGACTGAATTATCTTGCAGGCACAGGGGAGGGATTACCTCGTTTTGTGTGGGTGTGTCCTGGACCCGAGAGCCAATGTAATTACAGTGTGTACTTTGTCACAGTCCCCTCTCAGGTTCAGTGGGGAATGCCCCTGGAATATGTTAAACGAAAACCCCTTGCATGGGGTATATAAGACCAGTTGTGGCTGCCATTAGACAGTTCCTCTTCACCCTCGATATAGAGCCTCGTCTCATGCTTGGAGGGAACAGCTATATTCACTCTGGGGATTGCTATACTCATTATAATCCCTGAGATTATAATCACTAGCTCTTATAAGAGCTGTTCCTGCTATACTCTCTGGACTAGAAGAGGTCTACCCACTGGAAGCTGGATCCTGGTCTTGGGTCCAGGGTGGGTGGAGGACGGCGAGACCCCCAGCTAAGCTGCGGCGACTGTGGGGTTTAAGGCGGTTATGGTATTCCAGTGCCATGCTTTTGGTGCTCACATACTAGGAAGCAGCGATTGGCGGAGGCACCCAGTCGGGGTGCCAGGCGGTCCGTTACAAGGGTTACTGAAGGTGGTGACTGACTGGCTCTGGGTTGAACACATGGCATGATTCAGCGTAAGCCTGTTTAATGGAAACATCTTCTCACGGCAAGCTCTTTTACAAGCTGAACGTTCTAGATTCCACTCCTCCCCCTAAAATAACCCAACAATAAACAATGCTCTTATTCCAGAATCCTCTGTTCTTCTTAAAGATGCATGGCAGATTAAATGAACAGTACTCATTGTACTGGGAACACTGTCTTTGTAATACATTGCTGGATAGATTTATATAAAACAAACTCACCATTTTAGTGGACTTATAATATTAGAGTCGATATGGAGACAGTTTGGTCCTGTTGATAATTTGCTGACGTCTGGCTCAAGATGTTAGGAAATAATGTAATATAAACAAGCATCTAAAATGTACCCAGATCTGCTCGATTGATAGCTTTCCCCTCACTTCAACTCTGCAATAAAAAGCTATATTTAAGGGTTGCTAAAAATTTCAAAAAATGAGAGAAAGAAGGAGTGTGTCAGACAGGTTTAGCGATAAGGTAAATAGCTGACATTTAATCAGTTTCAGTCTGAGGTGCGTCCCGTGGGAAGCTCGGAATGAGTGAGATTTGCTGCAGGCTGTGTTCCTGACGCTGTATTTTTCTGTTATTAGATTGTAATGGGCAATAGGACACGTCAGGCGCTGCCAATAAGTTTATTAATGCCTGCAGGACTGATGTGGACGACGGCGGCACATTTGGAAACTGTTTAGGGTGTTTAGGAACATTATGAAGCAGTGAGGTAAATCGAATAAAGACAAAACTATATGAGTAATGTAATCCCAGAGATCGAATAGCCATGTAAAGAACGGGTAATGGGGTCTGGAGAGCGACGGACATTGGAACCCACAGATAGTATGGAACATGGTACCTACAGATCTTATAAATCATGGAACATATAATAAGACTCACAGATAATCTAACCCACATATAATACAACACACAGATAATATGAATCACAGACAATATAACCCTCATATAATCTAACCCACAGATAATCTAACCCCCATATAATATAACCCACATATAATCTAACCCCCATATAATATAACCCACATATAATCTAACCCTCATATAATCTAACCAACATATAATCTAACCCCCATATAATCTAACCCATATATAATATAACCCTCAGATAATCTAACCCACATATAATACAACACACAGATAATATGAATCACAGACAATAAAACCCTCATATAATCTAACCCCCATATAATATAACCCACATATAATCTAACCCCCATATAATATAACCCTCATATAATCTAACCCACATATAATCTAACCCTCATATAATCTAACCCCCATATAATCTAACCCTCATATAATCTAACCCACATATAATCTAACCCACATATAATCTAACCCTCATATAATCTAACCCACAGATAATCTAACCCCCATATAATCTAACCCCCATATAATCTAACCCTCATATAATCTAACCCCCATATAATCTAACCCTCATATAATCTAACCCACATATAATCTAACCCTCATATAATCTAACCCTCATATAATCTAACCCCCATATAATCTAACCCTCATATAATCTAACCCTCATATAATCTAACCCCCATATAATCTAACCCCCATATAATCTAACCCACATATAATCTAACCCACATATAATCTAACCCCCATATAATCTAACCCTCATATAATCTAACCCCCATATAATATAACCCTCATATAATATAACCCCCATATAATATAACCCCCATATAATCTAACCCTCATATAATCTAACCCACATATAATCTAACCCTCATATAATCTAACCCCCATATAATCTAACCCACATATAATCTAACCCTCATATAATCTAACCCCCATATAATCTAACCCACATATAATCTAACCCCCATATAATCTAACCCCCATATAATCTAACCCCCATATAATCTAACCCACATATAATCTAACCCCCATATAATCTAACCCACATACAATCTAACCCCCATACAATCTAACCCACATACAATCTAACCCACATACAATCTAACCCTCATATAATCTAACCCTCATATAATCTAACCCCCATATAATATAACCCTCATATAATATAACCCCCATATAATATAACCCCCATATAATCTAACCCTCATATAATCTAACCCCCATATAATCTAACCCCCATACAAACTAACCCCCATATAATCTAACCCCCATAATTCCAACCCCCATAATCTAACCCCCATATAACCCTCATATAATCTAACCCCCAATTCAACCCCATATAATTCAACCCCATAATCTAACCCCCATAATCTAACCCCCATAATCTAACCCCCCCATATAATCTAAATCCTCATAATCTAACCCCATAATCCCCCATAATCTAACCTCAAGGCAATTCCAGCAATCCCCCCATACTCCAATCCCCCATATAATTCCAATCTCATATAATCTAACCCCCATATAATCTAACCCCCATATAATCTAACCCCCATATAATCTAACCCCCATATAATCTAACCCCCATATAATCTAACCCCCATATAATCTAACCCTCATATAATCTAACCCCCATATAATCTAACCCCCATATAATCTAACCCCCATATAATCTAACCCTCATATAATCTAACCCCCATATAATCTAACCCTCATATAATCTAACCCCCATATAATCTAACCCTCATATAATATTCAGTTCCAGCTGTCGCACAGGTATGACGTCACCGGCGGCAGTAGCTCCTGCGGACGCGCTGGTGACGTCATAAAGATGGCGCTGCCCATGGCCAGGCGTGCTGTGTTCTGCCGACTGAAAAGCGGAAACCGGGGGCTGGGGAGCTCGGGGCCCCGGGCAGCCAGGATCCAGGTACCTCCCACCGGCACTGACTGGGTTAATATAGCCCCTCACCCCGGGGGAGCCTGGGACTGGCACTGACAGGGTTAATATAGCCCCTCACCCCGGGGGGAGCCTGGGACCGGCACTGACAGGGTTAATATAGCCCCTCACCCCGGGGGGAGCCTGGGACCGGCACTGACAGGGTTAATATAGCCCCTCACCCCGGGGGGAGCCTGGGACCGGCACTGACAGGGTTAATATAGCCCCTCACCCCGGGGGGAGCCTGGGACTGGCACTGACAGGGTTACAGCCCCTCACCCCTCGGTTTTAATCGCACTGACAGGGGTTAATATGCAGCCCTCACCCCGGGAGCCTGGGACCCGCACTGACAGGGTTAATATAGCCCTCACCCCGGAGGGAGCCTGGGACTGGCACTGACAGGGTTAATATAGCTCCTCACCCCGGAGGGAGCCTGGGACTGGCACTGACAGGGTTAATATAGCTCCTCACCCCGGAGGGAGCCTGGGACTGGCACTGACAGGGTTAATATAGCTCCTCACCCCGGGGGAGCCTGGGACTGGCACTGACACCCCGGGGGGAGCCTGGGACTGGCACTGACAGGGTTAATATAGCTCCTCACCCCGGGGGGAACCTGGGACTGGCACTGACAGGGTTAATATAGCTCCTCACCCCGGGGGGAGCCTGGCACTGACAGGGTTAATATAGCCCCTCACCCTGGGGGGAGCCTGGGACTGGCAGTGACAGGGTTAATATAGCTCCTCACCCCGGAGGGAGCCTGGGACTGGCACTGACAGGGTTAATATAGCCCCTCACCCCGGGGGAGCCTGGCACTGGCACTCGACATTATAGCCTCACTCGGGAGCCTACCGGGTGCACTGATAGGGTTAATATAGCCCCTCACCCCGGGGGGAGCCTGGGACTGGCACTGATAGGGTTAATATAGCCCCTCACCCCGGGGGGAGCCTGGGACTGGCACTGATAGGGTTAATATAGCCCCTCACCCCGGGGGGAGCCTGGGACTGGCACTGATAGGGTTAATATAGCCCCTCACCCCGGGGGGAGCCTGGGACTGGCACTGATAGGGTTAATATAGCCCCTCACCCCGGGGGAGCCTGGGACTGGCACTGACAGGGTTAATATAGCCCCCCCCCCCGGGGGAGCCTGGGACTGGCACTGACAGGGTTAATATAGCTCCTCACCCCGGGGGGAGCCTGGCACTGACAGGGTTAATATAGCCCCTCACCCCGGGGGAGCCTGTGACCTGCACTGACCGGGTTAAATATGCTCCTCACCCCGGAGGGAGCCTGGGACTGGCACTGACAGGGTTAATATAGCTCCTCACCCCGGAGGGAGCCTGGGACTGGCACTGACAGGGTTAATATAGCTCCTCACCCCGGAGGGAGCCTGGGACTGGCACTGACAGGGTTAATATAGCTCCTCACCCCGGGGGAGCCTGGGACTGGCACTGACACCCCGGGGGGAGCCTGGGACTGGCACTGACAGGGTTAATATAGCTCCTCACCCCGGGGGGAACCTGGGACTGGCACTGACAGGGTTAATATAGCTCCTCACCCCGGGGGGAGCCTGGCACTGACAGGGTTAATATAGCCCCTCACCCTGGGGGGAGCCTGGGACTGGCAGTGACAGGGTTAATATAGCTCCTCACCCCGGAGGGAGCCTGGGACTGGCACTGACAGGGTTAATATAGCCCCTCACCCCGGGGGAGCCTGGCACTGACAGGGTTAATATAGCTCATCACCCCGGAGGGGGACTGGCACTGACAGGGTTAATATAGCTCCTCACCCCGGGGGGAGCCTGGGACTGGCACTGACAGGGTTAATATAGCTCCTCACCCCGGGGGGGGCCTGGCACTGACAGGGTTAATATAGCCCCTCACCCCGGGGGCCTGGGACTAGCACTGACAGGGTTAGTATGAGCTCCCTCACCCGGGAGGGAGCCTGGGACTACAGCACTGACAGGGGTTAATATAGCCCGGCACTGGCCAGGGGTTAATATAGCTCCTCACCCGGTAGGGCCTGGGACCAGCACTGGCAGGGTTAATATGGCTCCCTCACCCCGGCCAGACCTGGGACTAGCACCCCAACAGGGTTAATATAGCCCCTCACCCCGGTGGGAGCCTGGCACTGACAGGGTTAATATAGCCCCTCATCCCTGGGACTGGCACTGACAGGCTTAATATAGCTACTCACCCCGGGGGAGACTGGGACTGGCACTGACAGGGTTAATGTAGCCCCTCACCCCGGAGGGAGCCTGGGACTGGCACTGACAGGGTTAATATAGCCCCTCACCCCGGGGGGAGCCTGGGACTGGCACTGACAGGGTTAATATAGCTCCTCACCCCGGAGGGAGCCTGGGACTGGCACTGACAGGGTTAATATAGCTCCTCACCCCGGAGGGAGCCTGGGACTGGCACTGACAGGGTTAATATAGCTCCTCACCCCGGGGGAGACTGGGACTGGCACTGACAGGCTTAATATAGCTCCTCACCCCGGAGGGAGCCTGGGACTGGCACTGACAGGGTTAATATAGCTCCTCACCCCGGGGGGAGCCTGGGACTGGCACTGACACCCCGGGGGGAGCCTGGGACTGGCACTGACAGGGTTAATATAGCTCCTCACCCCGGGGGGAACCTGGGACTGGCACTGACAGGGTTAATATAGCTCCTCACCCCGGGGGGAGCCTGGCACTGACAGGGTTAATATAGCCCCTCACCCTGGGGGGAGCCTGGGACTGGCAGTGACAGGGTTAATATAGCTCCTCACCCCGGAGGGAGCCTGGGACTGGCACTGACAGGGTTAATATAGCCCCTCACCCCGGGGGAGCCTGGCACTGACAGGGTTAATATAGCTCATCACCCCGGAGGGGGACTGGCACTGACAGGGTTAATATAGCTCCTCACCCGGAGGCCTGGGACTGGCACTGACAGGTTAATATAGCTCCCTCACCCCGGGGAGCCTGGGACTGGCACTGACAGGGTTAATATAGCCCCTCGCGGGAGCCTGGGACTGGCACTGACAGGGTTAATATAGAAACCTCACGGAGGGAAGCCTGGGACTGGCACTGACAGGGTTAATATGGCCCGGCACTGACAGGGTTAATATAGCTCCTCACCCCGGCGGAGCCTGGGACTGGCACTGACAGGGTTAATATAGCTCCTCACCCCGGCGGAGCCTGGGACTGGCACTGACAGGGTTAATATAGCCCCTCACCCCGGTGGGAGCCTGGCACTGACAGGGTTAATATAGCCCCTCATCCCTGGGACTGGCACTGACAGGCTTAATATAGCTACTCACCCCGGGGGAGACTGGGACTGGCACTGACAGGGTTAATGTAGCCCCTCACCCCGGAGGGAGCCTGGGACTGGCACTGACAGGGTTAATATAGCTCCTCACCCCGGGGGGAGCCTGGGACTGGCACTGACAGGGTTAATATAGCCCCTCACCCCGGGGGGAGACTGGGACTGGCACTGACAGGGTTAATGTAGCCCCTCACCCCGGGGGAGCCTGGGACTGGCACTGACAGGGTTAATGGCCCTCACCCGGGAGCCTGGGACTGGCGCGGCAGGGTTAATATAGCTCACCCGGGGAGCCTGGGACTGACAGGGTTAATATAGCTCCTCACCCCGGGGGGAGCCTGGGACTGACAGGGTTAATATAGCCCCTCACCCCGGGGGAGCCTGTGACTGGCACTGACAGGGTTAATATAGCTCCTCACCCCGGGGGGAGCCTGGCACTGACAGGGTTAATATAGCCCCTCACCCCGGGGGGAACCTGGGACTGGCACTGACAGGGTTAATATAGCTCCTCACCCCGGGGAGAGCCTGGGACTGGCATTGACAGGGTTAATATAGCCCCTCACCCCGGGGGAGCCTGGGACTGGCACTGACAGGGTTAATATAGCCCCTCACCCCGGGGAGCCTGGGACTGGCACTGACAGGGGTTAATATGGCTCCTCACCCGGGGAGCCTGGGACTAGCTGACAGGGGGGTTAATATAGCTCCTCACCCGGAGGCTGGCACTGACAGGGGTTAATATGGCCCCCTCTCACACCCCGGGGAGCCTGTGACTAGCACTGAGCAGGGGTTCCTGGCCTCATCCGGAGACCTGGCACTGACAGGGTTAATATAGCCCCTCACCCCGGGGGGAACCTGGGACTGGCACTGACAGGGTTAATATAGCTCCTCACCCCGGGGAGAGCCTGGGACTGGCATTGACAGGGTTAATATAGCCCCTCACCCCGGGGGAGCCTGGGACTGGCACTGACAGGGTTAATATAGCCCCTCACCCCGGGGGGAGCCTGGGACTGGCACTGACAGGGTTAATATAGCCCCTCACCCCGGGGGGAGCCTGGGACTGGCACTGACAGGGTTAATATAGCTCCTCACCCCGGGGGGAGCCTGGGACTGGCACTGACAGGGTTAATATAGCCCCTCACCCCGGGGGGAGCCTGGGACTGGCACTGACAGGGTTAATATAGCTCCTCATACCGGGGGGCCACATTTATATGTTTAGACAGTTTACAAGGACAGTCTCCAATCATTTTTCTGCACCGCACATTTCCCAGGAAAGTTTGTATTGTGAAACATGTTGCAGGGCTTTTTAGAAGGGACAGGACAGAACCTATATTTTTTTTATGAATATTTTCGGCAACAGGGTTTATACTCTGCCAGAATATACGTAGAGCTGAATGTATTTTGCTCAGTAAACTGGGATTGTGGAGTTTTAAGAAGGTGATTGATGATTCTAATATATCGCAAACTGTTACATGGACAAACGGGGACACTTTAAATTTGGAGCGTGACCAGGGACAGGTTTTTCTGCTAAATTTTAGATATTTAGCCAACCACAATATTTGCAACTAAAATGTAATTTTGAACAAAAACAATGTGTTTTTTTTTTTTTACACTGATTTCTAAAAACATTTTTTGTAGTTTAAAGGAATAATGTTAGGAATGCAAATCTGTATTCCCAATGCTATATTGTCCCTGTCACAAAGAAACCATGACTTCTGTAGTGGAGCTCCCTGTACCACGGCTGGGTACCTCCGCCAAGGATCGCTTCCTAGCTGGAACCTGGGAAAATCTCAGCACTTCTGCCCCAGAAGCCGTGGCTCCTTCTGGAGCCTCTCCGTCCTGGAACAGGGACTGGACGACACAGTACTGGGAGCTCTAGTCCTCACAAGGACTTTCCAGTCCAAATCCTCCATGAGCTGGAACAAGGTGCTGAGCAGCGATTAGCTCTTTCCCTCCGAGTAACTAGACGACACATAGTTCGGGGAGTACAACTGATTTTATTGAGCCAAACTCTGCCTTTTATGCTCAGGCCCCAGCATGTATTCAACACAAGCCCCTCCCAGGGAGATCTTGGGAGATAATTGCGATAAAGACCGGTAAGCTAATTATCTCTCAGGAATAGTATAATAATACATCCCCAAATAGCGCTCAGATTCATACAGTGTAGGGGAAACGCCACACAAAATATGCCCAAAATAGTTCCATGGCTTTTGGTGCTTTTGCTGGTCAACTTTCTGGGTGCTTCTGCAGCCTCAATACGGGGTGCTCCTCCTGGCTCTCAGGTAGTGTTTGTTCCCATTAGTCTCAGGCACCTTCCCCCCCCCCCAAAAGGCGCTCTCCTGGGGGGGGTTCAAAACTGGTTCAAAACCCCGGACCAATTTGTCCGGGGACCGCACAGTCACCTCATACAGAAAACTGTTCCATAACATTCGCGTCTTAAAGTACTGCTGAGGTGTCCGGGGACCCACGAAGTTCTTATGCCGGAATTAGTTCCATAGCGGTCACGGCTAAGTACCGCTGAGGACTGTTCGTGGGTTACAGCCACCAGGGAGCTAGCATTCCTCATAGAGGAGCATTGGGGACCTAATGCGCTTGCGCTGCGAGTGCCACATGTGTATTCAAACTTCCACATAGGAAAGAATTGAATCAATGTCTTCTATGGGCCTTCCACATCATGTGGCAGAGGTTTACTTGGTTACTGTAACGGCTGTGATACTGACAGCTACTAGAGATGGACTTTACCCAGAGATGAAGTGCTCTGGGTGACTATAGTGTCCCTTTAAAGACACATTACTGTGAGTATTATTGCTGTGGAGTTCTGTTACACACTCAGACACATTACTGGGAGTATTATTACCGCGGGGCTCTGTTATACATTCAGACACATTACTGGGAGTATTACTGCTGTGGAGCTCTGTTATACCCTCAGACACATTACTGGGAGTATTATTGCTGTGGAGCTCTGTTATACCCTCAGACACATTACTGGGAGTATTATTGCTGTGGAGCTCTGTTATACACTCAGACACATTACTGGGAGTATTATTGCTGTGGAGCTCTGTTATACACTCAGACACATTACTGGGAGTATTATTGCTTTGGAGCTCTGTTATACACTCAGACACATTACTGGGAGTATTATTGCTGTGGAGCTCTGTTATACACTCAGACACATTACTGGGAGTATTATTGCTGTGGAGCTCTGTTATACACTCAGACACATTACTGGGAGTATTATTGCTGTGGAGCTCTGTTATACACTCAGACACATTACTGGGAGTATTATTGCTGTTGAGCTCTGTTATACACTCAGACACATTACTGGGAGTATTATTGCTGTGGAGCTCTGTTATACACTCAGACACATTACTGGGAGTATTATTGCTGTGGAGCTCTGTTATACACTCAGACACATTACTGGGAGTATTATTGCTGTGGAGCTCTGTTATACACTCAGACACATTACTGGGAGTATTATTACTGTGGAGCTCTGTTATACACTCAGACACATTACTGGGAGTATTATTGCTGTGGAGCTCTGTTATACACTCAGACACATTACTGGGAGTATTATTGCTGTGGAGCTCTGTTATACACTCAGGCACATTACAGGGAGTATTATTGCCGTGGAGCTCTGTTTCACACTAGCAATATGGAGTTCATAGAAAAGAGGGACATTAGGAGATAAAAGAGGGACAGGGGCCCAAAATAGATTGTCCTTCCTAAATAGAGACACTTGGAAGTTATGACTTTTAAGCCAAGAGAGCTCAGTTGATTTATTTTTTAACCAAAAATTGGAGAATTTTTCCAAATGGGCAATTTTAAATTAAGAATTGACATCCCTTTATCGGTTCTCCCATAGATCTGTTTAACCTCCAACCAATGAATATGTCATTATTGGATAGCTGTGAACGATGTAGGTGCCTGTGGGACGCCTTTCTTGGCCAGCAGAGTACTGTGTGTTCATATTGTTGGTTCCCTGAAAGAGGCGTTTACTGACCGCGCCTACAAATGTCTTTACAGCACAATTCTGCATTTTCCAGAGCTGTTACGGGCGTGAAGTTTGGCATGTGAACCCCAAGAGGAATCTCCGCTCCCCTCTTCCAGCAGCCTCATTAATCACCCCTCTAGTACCCGGAGCTTGTTGTATTAAGGACAGCCATTCCTCTGTCTTTGCTTCCTCGCCCCGTGCCCCCAGCCAGCTCCTGGGAAAAGCCCATCAATCTCTCCTGTCAGATGGAGCAGCAGGAGATGTCTTTTGCTGTCCAACCTGGCTGGCTCCCGTCTCCTGGCCTTACCACCAATGCTGAATAAGTAAATCCGGGCAGCCAGTGATGCAGGCTGATACTCCCCTTCTCAGGCCTTGGAAAATATGCTTTTAATCTGTATAAGACCAGCGATGTATTGATCATTATATCGTTTGTACATAATGAGGGTGAGATGTAGGTGCACCTTCTTACGTGTCGTCTGAGAGTGACTTGTTCCGCCTTAGTGACCGTTAATGGGGGAAGTACATGTTGGGAGATCTTTTCTCATAAGATGTTTTATATCACTCTCTGTTCTGTGTTTTAGCCCATGTATATTTATTATAAATAGTATAACAAGTTACCTAGGCAATATTTCTATGTAAACTCATAGATCTGATTCCCTGAATGCATAGTCTGCGCTACATAATGTACATTGTAATGGTTAACAGAACACTGCACGCACCATAACCACTATCTGTACTAGTTATGTTCATTAATTGACTGTAAGCGTCACCCATTGAATGAGCCTAACAAGCTCATGTATTCAATAAACTGACATGTGATTTGTCCAGTTTGAAAAGACAGGCCCTCAGCAACACGCAGGTAAGTATCACAGTGTAACAGTTTGACAGACTGCACTGTGATGGTGCCAGGCCTACAGCAGTGGTTATGGTGTTTATAGTCTCTCTATAACTGGGTGAGTAGAATTAACATTAATAATGTAACGTTAAATAAGAGCTTACAATTGTGCCGGTTTTGTAAGTGCCAATAAAGTGTTTTTGTTTTTTATAATCCCTCCAGACCACGCTGACGTTAGGGTGCTTGCTTTTAAAGCCTGGTGATGTGGCACTAAGACCAGTGTGCAGGAAATTCTGATTGTCCCTTAAAAAGCTTAATTCTCCAGCTCTGTTATCCCATGTGACGGAGCTCCCTGTATCCCTGGCTGGGTACTTCTGCCAAGGACCGCTTTCTAGCTGGAACAGTCGCCGTGGCTTGACTGGGGCCTTGGAACCGCTCTCTCCTGGAGCTGAATGGGGAACATGCACTGGACGACACTCAGTCCCCGTAGCTCTAGTCCTTACAATAACTTACCCTGTTTAATCCTCCACACAGGAACAGTGATTAAAGAATAGCCCTTTCCCCTCCCAGTAACCAGACGACACATAGTTTTGGGAGTACAAGCTGGGATACTTTAATGGCAGCCACAACTGGCCTTATATGCAGGTCCCAATGCAAGGGGCACTCCCACTGGACCTGAGAGTAAACCACAGGACACTCCCATACATAATAAGATAATCCCTCCTCTGTGCCTGGGAGATAATTGGATCAGGAACTGTACTAATCTAATCCAATCACAGAAAAAACATACTTTTTACCAAACACCCCAAAAGTACCCTGAAAATACAAAAAAAACCACAAAAGTTATATCCAAAGGTGACCAACATATCCAAAAATCACCCAGACCAGTTCAGGAATTTGTACTGGAAGTATTTTGTTTGACTGACCGCACTTGCGGTCGGTCTAGTTTGGTAGTTTGAAAACGAACAAACTACCGAACAGAGTCAAGTCTTACCCTGAAGCGTGTTACCCTTATTCAGACGAATGAATCCACCGAACAGTGTCTTCCTAAAACCGAACGCATGCTATCGTGGAAGTCCAGCGGTGTTCGGGAGTTAGTGTCCGAAAATAGTTCCATGAACTCGACGACCACACACCGCTGCCTGCGTTCATGCGAACAAGATGGCCGCCACCTCGTGGTCGTCCATAGGAATTGCGGCTACCCAGATGAACACTTAAGAGTGCTGAGGTGGAAATTGTTACAAAGTAGCAATTAGGCTTAATAAGCTCCAGGGTGGTCTCTGGTTCGTGCGGCTGTTCGGTTTCCGAACCATATAGTCCAAATACTCGAACGGAGACTTTTATATCACAGTTTACAGGTTGCCCATAGTCTGGGGGCAGGAGGCTGGCAAGCAGGCTCCTCCAGGAACTCGTAGCAAACTCACTATGAAAGATGGTTTTTCACAACCCACATCACATCCCGTCCACATACCCGCTTCATTAATGCCTGCAGCTGGGACTACGAGTTATCCACCCGGCCATGCGCTGTATGTAATTTATTATTATTATTGCCATTTATATAGCGCCAACAGATTCTGTAGCGCATGTAATGGCTGGCACAGGGAGTAACTAGGATTCCACCAGTTGGTAGCGGCTGACCCTCCCCAGATTATTTGTAAATTCAGGAAGAGCACTGCTCTCCCACCTGCCATGTTCATGCCAAAAAAAAGCTGCTCAGCCTCTCCTCTTTACAGCAATAAAATCTGTCAAAGTGTTTGATATTAGAGTGGGCAAATCTCCTCCCAGACAAACAGTCAAATCTAACATTATGAAAGAAACACAGGGCTGTACTTAAGACTCTCCCCCCTTTCTTGCCTCACCCAAAAGGAATAAATGCTGATAATACAAAAAATAATTTGCCAATGTTTGTGTTTATCTCAGTGTCTGTGGTGTATGAGTTCATATTTTTGTATGCGCGTGTAAGCAACATGTTTCTGTACGCAAGGTTTGAACGTATCTGGGAATATGAGAAGTCACAGCCCTATGCCACCGTTCACACGCACAGAGCAGCAGAATTAAAATGCCCTTTGTAGTTCCAGAGAAGGCAGCCCTGGCATGCAGGCCCCAGTAGGCAGTACCATCTCTGCTTCCATCCCTGGGTACAATGTGAATAACATTCTGTTGGGAAGGGTCCAGCCGCTGAATCCGCAGCCACAGTCCTCACTAATTGAGTCACTTTTAGTGTTATGTCCCCTGAGTGTCACCTTATGGGGTTAACTTGCCAGCCCCTGGGCCCGCGCCGCATGGGTTCCACTACATTAACCCATAAGTGCCCGTCTGGGGAGAGCTGGCTTTCATTATGCAGGTCTCACAAATTTTATGCTGACAGTTCATTTACTTTGTGACGCGTTAAGAGAAATCAATGGAAAAATCTTGCATTTTCCGGCGCCTTCCTTCTCTGCACTTCTATATAGTGCTGGCTCTCTGCCCTGAAGAGCTAACACTCTCTAGCATTTATTCCGAGCTTTGCAACTCTGCAGGCACGACTGACAGGAAGATTAATATACTAATTCTCCCGTTAACGAGCTAATTAAAGCGGGGGCCGCTCAGAACGTTTTGTTTTTATTCCAAAGCGCCCTACAGGTTGTCAGAGGGGAAAATCTCACTGCGCTGCCTAAACAAACACCGTAACAGCCACTTCGTATGATGTCACAGTGTGAAGCCGACAGACAGAGGTGGTGATCTGATGTCATGCGGCACGAGGGTTGTGGGCTCAGTGTATTCATATGTGGTGATTATCTACCCTGTGATTAACACCATGTGCAAATCTTTTGGTTTTTGTAGCCATTGCTTTTGGCACTAAGGGGTTAACCCTTCTACTACCAAGTTATTGGCAAGCAATTGAGCCACCGTTTAGTTTAATTTTGAGGGGGAGAAGAGTTTTGTTCGGGAAGGTAAAACTTTAATTTATTTTCATGCCATTATGCTTACATAATACACTATTTAAAGGTACATACCAAGCATCACTGTTCAGCCCACTGTAGTGGTTATGGTGCCAGCAGTTTTCTCACTGGAAGATGTCAAACCATTTTAGTATCCTTTGACAACTTACCTGGGTGTCCGTGACATACTGTGGTCTTTTCCAGCTGGGGAAGCCCGTGTCTCTATAGAATAAAAGGGACACTATATTCACAAAAACAACTATGAGGCAGTTTTGGTGTATAGATCTGTCTCACTGCTCAATTCTATAATTTAGGAGTTAAAGCACTTTGTTTATGCAGCCCTAGGCACACCTCCCCTGGCTGTGACTGGCACAGTCTTCCTAAACACTTCCTGTAAAGAATTCGACGAATGGAAGTGGGGGCTGCTACAACAGTTTAACTGCTTGCCATAGGGCTGTGCCAGCCAGTTGTAGTTGTTATGGTGTTCAGAGTGTCCTTTAATGTCAAATTGATAATGAAGATAGTTTACAGATTAATATGGAAACTGTGTAAAAAGATAGATTGAATTTGTCCTCCCATGTACACAGAGCATCTTTCATTCTATAGACAAATTACTTAAATGTTAAATTCTTAGTGTCACAAATGCTCCTCTTCTAAAGATTCCTTTTATCGTAGGATGTGTTGTCTCAAAAAGTACATTAATGACAATAGCTGCGATGTAAAATAGTGCCAGAAATGAATGACAGCGGGTGGCCGAGGGATGCAGGGGAAGGTGAGTTATACTTACCTGACTTTCCGCTACCACCATTCTCTGCTTGACATTCTACTTCAACTTGTGATGCTCCTACGTCTGCATTGTACTCTTGCGCATGTGTGAAAGTACAATGCTGAGATGGCCGGATCCGCCATAGACAGAGCCCTCTGTGACTGTGGGCTTCAAAAGGTTTCATGAAAGGTAGCTCTGCCTTACAATCTGCCACTATTGTAAAGCCCAGAAAGCCTCGCTACAGTATAATCGTAGTCTGTTTGTGTCACGCGTTTTATAGAAATCATGTAACCGGGGGTTATCTAGATTCTGAAGGAACTGATTTTTAGGCCAAAGTAGTATGATCTATTTTGTCCTAAAATGCACAATTTTTCTTTACTGTTATCTGTTCCCAATGTAGTGAAATGTGCTAGTTGTGGTAAAATGCTCTGTATGTAAATGTGCGTTTGCTATTTGTTGAGAGTTAGCCCGGGTTTTTTTTTCCCTCTGGGGGCTAGCTAGTCCGTTTCTGTCAGTGAGATTCTGTGCCTTTTGTTACAGATTGCTGAGCCTCGAGTGTTCTCTGGAATCCAGCCCACTGGTGCCCCCCACCTGGGCAACTACTTGGGAGCGCTACAGAGCTGGGTGCAGCTTCAGAACGGGTACAGCTCTGTCCTGTACAGCATCGTGGACCTGCACTCTATCACCGTGCCACAGGATCCAGAAACCCTGCGACAGAGTATTCTGAACATGACCGCCTGCCTGCTGGCCTGTGGGATTAACCCGGATAGAAGCTGCATCTTCCAGCAGTCTCAGGTAAAAAAAGACAGAGATTTACTTCGAATCTCTCTCCTGGTTAGACTCTGTATAAAGCGGTAGCTTCGAACTGACACAATACCCCTGATATAGGGCGGCAGTTTGTACCTCAGTTTTATCAGGTTACCTTTACTGGTGTTGTCTTTAGACTATCACACTGCCAAAATGTGTGTAGCTATAATGCAACATACAGTGCACGCAGTTACCAGTGTGAATTCAGGCAGCTGTATAACAAATACTGGTCCCTGCATTCACTTTCTAACTCCTCAGCGCTCACTCTTTCCATAAAAGTAATATTTATACGTCCTACTAAATACTGTTCTAGATCTTCTCATGTCCCTGCCTCTTCCCGTATATTGTTACCAGCAGAACTTGTATCAAGATGTACCACTGTTTTTCTCTCCATACTTTGAAGTGTTGTTTTCGTATTGTCATGCTGTTGGTTCTCCTTCAGGTTGCGGAACACGCAGAGCTTGGCTGGATCCTGAACTGTCTGACCTCAATGCCGCGGCTAATGCATCTACCTCAGTGGAAGGTAGGGGCTTGGAAAGAGCTACCAAACCGGGCCACATCCTGTAAATGTTCCCCTGAGCCCAGTGCGTTGTTAGATTTAGGTACTATGTGTACTTACCAATTTTTCACCACCATTATGCAGCCGAGCCCCCGGAAATTAATGTTTAGAACTTACAGCTGTGAGGAACGTCACAGAGATACAATACGCAGTGTGAAAACAAGAAAACGTATACTGGACCTTAGAGTGGCCGGGATAAAGTTAGCAGGGACAGAGAGTAGTCCAAGACAAGCTGAGGTCAAGGAAACCAGAAATCAGAATAGGCGAGAAAGTACAAAGAGAGTCACAGGGAAGGAGAATACTGAATAGTCCAAATACAGCAAACTAGAAAACGCACTATAGTGAACAAAGCAACTTTGAACCACAACAGGGCAATGATCCAAGCCCTATGAGCCCTTTTTCAGTATGGCTCTTTAATCCGATAGCCACACCCCCAAAACGTAAAAATTTGAAACGTTTCAGCGGGCCGTGACACTATGATGTCGGCGCACACGCACCGCGTCATTAAAGGGGGCAGAGCCAGAGCGGCCGCATCGGAACCGCTGTGGAGAGAGGAAGGAAATGGAGGACGGTCCATCTCCTTCTGGAGGAGATCCCCAGGCTGAGTCCTAGCCTGACAACTGACAACAGGTACCCTGACAACAGCCCAGTAATCCCCTATTTTGCCATATTCAGCCATCTCAGAGAGAGTGGTGGCCATGTTGTCTGTCAGGAAAGTGGGCGCTTACCATATTGTCTATCCAGGAAGTGAGGTGGCCATATTGTCTGTCCCAGTAGTGGGCGATGGCCATATTCTTGTCCAGGAAGAGTGTAATGGCCGTGTTGCCTGTATGGGAAGAGACTGGCGGACATATTGTCTGTCCAGGAGGATGTTGGCCATATTGTTGCTTTGAGAAGGGATTGATGACTTTGTTGTTCCTATAACTATATATATTTTTAATATAGAGGTCCACTCTTTTCCCAGTTGGAAATGATCAAGCCTACCTGAAAAACCTCCTGGTTTCCTGTATGTAATGACATTTCCTCCAATCTGATCATTTTAGTATACACCGAACCAGGCAAGTCACAATCCACTCAGTCGCATGGCCCAGGGACAAATCTATCTGAGACTTCCAGTGTTGTTTCCTCTATCCCCATGATCTTTAACCAGTTAATGTCTTTCATTAGATCAAGAGCCAGAAGAACGAGGGGAGTGTGGGATTGTTCACTTACCCGGTACTGCAAGCTGCAGATATCCTGCTCTACAAGTAAGGGTCGTATGATTATTCAGAGCATTGGCGGACAGGGAACCATTAACCATATGATGCAGTGACTGATCTGTAGCCCCACAGCTCTGCTTTGAGTGATGGGAGTTGTATTTTAGCTGTTGTTGCTGAAGAATCACAGATTTGTCCTTTCAATAGGACGGTTGACATGTATATCTTTCACCTCTTAATATCCCACTGTAGGTTCTGTCCACCCTTTGCAGTTTGAGTGCCGAGGGCTGTATATGCTGTCAATCCCTTCAAAAATAGTTAGTTGGTTATATGTTTGTCTGAAGAGGTTATGGTGGTCTTCCTGTCTGTCAGAGAAGAGAAGATGTTGTTTCCTTGCTGTTTGTTTGAGTGGGTGTGGTGGCCACAGTGTCTCGGCCAGGAAGGGGCCATATTGCTGCCTGGAGAGGATGTGTTGGCCTTCTAAATGCCTGAGAGAGTTGAGTTGATCATATTTTGTGTCTGAGTAGGAGTTGGTGGCCATATTGTAGAATAATAGGTCATCACTTTTTTGTATTTCTTATATAACTATACACCTGTAATTTTAGGTCTACTCATGTCCCTGTGGGAGATGACCAAGTCCAGCACTTGGAACTCACTCAAGATACGGCTCGCAAATTTAATAACACATATGGAGATTTCTTTCCCATTCCAGTTGCTCTAATGGGTGAGTACATGTAAAGACTCCAGGTCCGTGTGGACTCTGTATAAAGCGGTAGCTTCGAACTGACACAATACCCCTGATATAGGGAGGCAGTTTGTACCTCAGTTTTATCAGGTTACCTTTACTGGTGGTGTAGGGTTGTCTTTAGACTATCACACTACTTTCATTGATATTTAGTTATCAAAGTAAGCAAACATTGTGAATGGAATGTAAGCTCTCTTGCCCACAATATAGCAATCTGTGCATTTATGTTGTATAGGCAGCTGACCACATCAAATCATATCTCTTAATGGCCCTAAACCTATATTACTGTGTATTTCAGTATTTTAATATTTACAGTGAGATCGTGAACAGGTCACACTGTGGTGGCTACATCTGTGAAGCTGGTTATATGTGGTGCGAATGCAAGTGTAATATAATCTGTTTTTTATTTTCCAAATGTTTTTTGAGGCTTGGTGTTACAGAGGAAATGAGATGTTCCATTAGCTTCTAGAAATTAAACATTGTTACTTTGCTTATTAAATACGTAGCTGTGACCCCTTTTCACGTTCTACACACAAATAATATTTTAGTGAAACATTAAACTGCTATTAAAGAAACACTAAATCTCTCAAACCAGGGGATCAGTTATCTGTAGCTGTATCTGTAACACTTACTACAGTAGCTGGCCACCATCAAGACTTTGGGAACATAATGTCTCCAGGTGTCTTAATTCCCCAATATTACCAATTACTCAGAACCCAACCCAATTTCATCAGGTTGCCAGATAAACAGGTAAGATCTCCCACCCAAAACCTTCTGTACTGATCTAATATATCACAGATACTGCACTAGCAATACAGCAAGTTTGTGTGAGGTGTCATGATAATGTGAGTTTACAGTCAGCCGTTCCATTTCCCTTAACTGATAATGTCATATGTTCATTTTTCAGGCACCTCCAAGAAGATACGTTCCCTCAGAGACCCCTCTGTTAAGATGTCCAAGTCAGACCCTCAAAAACTGGCTACAGTGCACCTGACTGACACCCCAGAGGACATTGTGCTGAAGTTTCGGAAAGCTGTCACAGACTTCACCTCTGAAGTGACCTATGACCCTGTACTCCGTCCTGGGGTCTCCAATTTGGTTTCCATACACTCTGCCATGACCGGTCTAGGGACAGAGGATATCGTGCGTCAGAGTCGAGGGATTGAAACCGCTCAGTACAAGTTGTTAGTGGCGGAGATGGTTGTGGAGAAACTGACCCCAATCCGGGAAGAATTCCAGCGTCTGCAGGGGGACGTGGGGTACTTAAAGAATGTGCTGAATAGCGGTGCGCAGCAGGCTCGGGAACTTGCTTCTTCAGTTTATGATGATGTGTGTAAAATGGTCGGATTTAGATGATACCTGCAGAGGATATCAGGCACTGTACTGAACTTCCCTGTTGTGAGAAGGAACCGAACTGATGTCCTGAAATGAACACTCCAGGCACGTTCTGTCATATTTGTGACCGTTTATAAAAGTTCAATTTTCAGTGGAAATCTGCAACATATGTTGAATACAGGGACCATAAGATTAATATAACTGCTAGAACAGTTTTTGACATTATGGGATCGGAGAGATCAAGGAATAAGAACGCAGGAAGAAGATGGACCACCTTAAACAATTGATGACGTTTGGTGGGATCAAGTGGTGTTTTCACTTTAATTTCTTTTCTTATAAAAGCATGTCAGATTGATTTAATTCATTTATGACAAATGACCTGTCAGGTCTGTCTCTTTAAAAACCTTTGTCACATCTATTTGTGACTCCGCACTGGTACCATTCAGGCTGCAGGCGCTGCAAACCTTCCGGGGTTCTAGTCTCTGTGAACCTGTTAACGTGTTACCCCACTGTCCCTGGGCTTTCTAGCTTATGGTGAGTTCTAATTAAGAGACTCGTGTTATCTTGGAAATTACATCATGCGCTGTCCTGGGTTGCATTTATTTTGCTGCACAAAATGTATTACTTGAAATTACCTTTTTGTACAAAGATTTTCTTTAAAAAAAGAGAATGTGACCCTGATTCCACAGAACTGCCTCTTTTTTGATTATTTCAACAGGATGGGGTGAGAAGACTAACAAGGTCTTTTTAAACAAACATGTTAGTTTACCAATAACCAGGTTACTTGCTCGTGTATGTTGTAGATTCTGTCACCCAGTGGGGCAAGGAAGCAAAATATAATTTTTTGAATATCTATATTTTATGGTTTTATATTAATTGTTTTTTGTTTGTTTTTTTGGTGGGAAGAATTAGAATGTTGGGCATCCTACTAGACAAACCTCAGGACACGTACCTCTCACCTCCTCCTAATACACAGAAATCAGGACACGTACCTCTCGCCTCCTCCTAATACACAGATACCAGGACACGTACCTCTCGCCTCCTCCTAATACACAGATACCAGGACACGTACCTCTCGCCTCCTCCTAATACACAGACACCAGGACACGTACCTCTACCCTCCTCCTAATACACAGAAATCAGAACACGTACCTCTCGCCTCCTCCTAATACACAGATACCACGACACCTACCTCTACCCTCCTCTCACATCCTCCTAATGCACAGATACCACGACACGTACCTCTACCCTCCTCCTAATGCACAGATACCACGACACGTACCTCTCACCTCCTCCTAATGCACAGACATCAGCATCAGGACACGTACCTCTCACCTCCTCCTAATACTGACACTGGGCCATGCACTACTTCCTAATACATGTATGCCTCTTCTACTTTTTGTATTGTTTTACAAAGGGTAGGAACCCGTCCTTGGATGTGTAATAACCATGTGACGGCATGGCTTATTCTTTGACACTATTAAACCCTTGCTGTAATAACCGCAGCTTTTGGATGTGAATTCAGAGCTCATCTGTCTAAATTTGAAATCCGCCCACCCCAGTGACAGACACAGCGCTTTCCTTATACTGCCCCACCGAGACTCCTGTCAGTCAAAGGGCCCCTCGGGCTCCCAGCCATTCAAGGTTTGTGTTTCTTATTTTAGGGAGCAGACAGGTCAGTTTGTCCGCTTCCCCTGGCCCCCCCCCCCCAGGCGGCAAACTGCAGAACAAAGTGAAATGTAGCCTCAGTGCAGCCGCCTGGTGCACATTAGCCTTTAATTCTATTAACACAATTTGACACGCTTACATGTGATGTAACACCTTTACTGGGCACGCCGAGCATTACATGCAGCACGGATGAACACAGCTCAATTGTGAACCCACTGTCCTCTGCTTCAGGGCACTCTAAGGGGCCATTCTTTCAACATAACAAAAAGATTCTTATCTAATGTGTGTTTAATACGGCTTACGTCTGTCAATGTGTTTTATTTATAGAGCATTATAGCAATCCATTTCTTTAATTCAATTTACTGTCATTGCTTAATAGACTTATCACAGACTTACCCGGTAGAAGGCTCTGCAATTGGAAAGGGACAGCACAATGTTTTCTATGAGGGTGGGGACTATCTGCTGTAACTTGGAGATGGTACATGGTTTTAATATTTTCATAAATTAGTAAACCTTATTGAATTCAGAAACTTTTTAAATGAGAAAGAGTATAGTAAAATACCTTTCAATCTCCTGATAACCACCCTCCCAACACACTCAGTGGACACACACCCCTCACCCTGATGCACTCTATAGGTACGTACTCATGGCCATAAAACACCCCATGGAGTCCTCACCCAGACACACACCACTGGCTCTCCCCACATAACTCATGGATACACACGTCACCCTCCTGATATACAAACGATAAACAATTATGATGGAAGGTTAGTAGTTTGTAAAACCTTGTGTGATGAAACGCCTTCTCATGTTACACCCAAAACAAATATTTATCTAAATGTTAAACTGCTTAAAATAAAAGCAAAATCTATGCTGCTCCCTAATAAGTAAGGCGACACTGACACACAGGCTCTATATGTGAAGCTACACACTTACTCCAGTAGCTGGCCTCCATTAATACTCTGAGAACCTAATACAGTTTGTGTTGTGGTTTAGCACTTTGTGACGGACCACCTGGCACTCCAACCAGGTGCCTCCACTAATCGATGCTCCTAGTGCTCACCGAGGAATGCCAGCACTCCACCAGACACAATAAGCACTGCAGAACCCACTTCCAGCGATGCAGCTGCGGCCGGGTCTTGACATCCTTCACCCACCCTGGACCAAAGACCTGAGTCCAGCTTCCAGTGGGCAGACCTCGCCTACTCCCAGAGAGTGTAACAGGGAACAGGGAACAGGGTGATCATAATTCCTGGTGAGTATAGTGATATAGCAATCCCCAGGATAGATACCGCTGTTTTCCCCCACGCATGAGATGAGACTATATGTTGAGGGTAAGCAGGAACAGAATTTTAATGGAGGCACACTGGCCTTTTATACAAGTTTCCCAACAAGGGTGACACCCAGGTGGACCTTGTTGGGCACAGGGACTCAAAGTGAACAAACCAATAAAAACAGAGTCATACAGTGAGACACTCCCATACACAAACAATAGAATCCCTCCTCTGTGTTTGGGAGATAATTAAATCAGGAACTGTACTAATCTAACCCAATTATCTCCAGGCACAAAAAAAATCAAATTTTATGACACCCCCAAAAGTACCTTAAAAACACATAAAACACCATAAATGTTACATCCCCTGATAGCCCCAATCTGGGTGAACAACATATCCAAAAATCACCCAGATCGGTTCAGGAATTTCCTGGAAGTCATAGTTTTGACCGACCGTGCACATGGTCCTATGCCCAAAACAGTTCCAGGGAAATCAGTGCTAACAGTCTGTCAAGTTCGGTAGTCTTTTACAGGTTTCCCTGCAGGAAACCCCTGCAGCCTCCTGCCCATAGTCTGTGGGCAGGAGGCTGGCAAGCAGGCCCCTCCAGGTACAAGTGGCGAGGTTACTTTTGCCACATATCTTCCCTCCCAAGGGGAGACTAACCGGTACCTGACCTCCTGTCGGTGCCTGAGTTAGTCGAGTAACCCACCCACAACAAACAATTACTGGATCAGGTGACTCCTGTAGTATGTCTCTGTCCTGTACGACCACAAGGTCTACGTGGGCCTCTGGTACTCCCAGTTCCTTTGTTGCTCTCTGGCTTGGGGATGTAGTTACTCGGTGGGCTCTGTCCTGTAGCCAGCGTTGCAGCTGGGTAGTGGGGTGAGTTGCTAGCTCCTGGATCAAGGACCAGGGGAGGGCAGAGGCTAACTGCGCTCTGCCCTGGTGCCAGCTCTTCTGCTGGGGTGACGGGTACATAGTCCTGCCCTGATGCCAGCTCTTCTGCTGAAAAGGAGTCAGGGGGTAGTCCCATCCACTAACCCCAGGGCCCTGCTAGGAATTGGCTGGAGAGGGGAGAAAGCACTTACCTCCTCCTCCTCCTGGTACCCCTGCGGGTTTAGTTGGGGATCTGGACCGGCCATCCAGCATCCCTGTAGATCTGGCACAGAGACCACGGTCCCATCTGTACCATTGGGGTCAGGGGTATTGTCCCCCTGTAGTTGGGGTGAAATACCAGCTGTCGCCTCTCCCTGAAAGATGCACTGCTGCTGAGGAGAGAGACCGGTTGTCTCCTCTCCCTGTGAGATGCACTGCCGCTAGGGAGAGAGACCGGTTGTGTATTCTCCCTGTAAGATGCACTGCCGTTGGGGAGAGAGACCAGCTGCCTCCTCTCCCTGTAGGATGCTCTGCCGATGGTGGAGAGACCGGTTGTCTCTTCTCCCAATAACACACTCTGCCACTGGGGAGTCAGACCGACTGTCTCCACTCCTGGTAACGCTGCCTGGTGCTGGGTAGATTGGGTCCGAATTGAGCTGAGCAGGTGTTGGTAGTCCTGCCCCAGTTCCCACTCCCTTGTTACCAGGTGGGTCATGTCTCGTCTCACCTCGCTGGCGTCAGCCCAAACATGCATGCCCACCCTGTAGTCATAGATGTCCCAAAATAAATTTCCTCCTCCAAGGCCTCCCATAGTAAACCAGGGCCATCAAAATCGTCACCTCCGGGCCAGTCGTGCTCGGCCATCAAGGGGGTATGCCGAACCATATCCCACCAGAGGGCCTGGTAGGCGTTGTCTAGCCAAAGCTCCTTACATACCAGTCTCTCGAGTTCTGTCATTCACTCATCAAGGGGCTGCTATCCCAAGAGACACATTCGCATTGCCACATGCTTCTGTAGCCGCTGCTCATCACTGGGAAGACTCTTGCCCTGCCGATACTGTACGCACTCCAGGGCTTCATACCAGGCGTCTTTCCGGATTGCATCCCTCCAGTCTAGTTCATTCTCCTCCTCATATAGGAACGCTGTCCTTGAACTAGCTGGTTCCATATTACTGTCAATATAAATCCATACTGCTGTAGACAGGGGCGCTGTATGGATACTAGTGTTGCACTCAATTTGTACAATCCAACGGGTGTCTCCAGGATGCTTCTATACTCACTAGGAAGTCATCCCACCACTGCCACCAAATTCGCCAAACACTTCAACTGTATTGTTGAGATAGGTGATTCAGCTCGACAACCCAGTATGGATTCTCTTTATTTTGACCAAATACAGGACACCTATGTAAGAAGGATGGAGCAGTGCCTCATAAAGTTCACAGGTGCTAAATGGAGTAAAAATATTGGAAAATGGAGGAAAAAAAAGAAAATGCACTTACAAATGGTGGGAGCTAGTAAGAGCTCCACTTGTAGGCATGTGAGTGGTATAATCCCCGCTTAAGGATGCAAAAAACTTTTTTGGGTTTGCTTGTTGTCTAATCTGTAGACAGTTCTCTATCTTGCGGCAGGAGATTGTATTTTTGAAGTCTGAGATTTGTAAATTATCTGGTAAACAAACTCAGGCTGGAACTGCTGCAAAGCAACTGCCGCAGAGACGTAATAGGAATGGCAGATGGATTACTGTAGGATCTGGTAGACTTAGGGTTGTGGATAAAAGGCATATTGCCCAGTCTTTTGCTCTACATAATTCATTTTCTGCAGTTTCAAAGTGTAATGGTGTTGTGGAGAGAGGCACTGAGGCTCGTGGTGTTGTGGAGACAGGCTCAGGCACTGAGGCTACTGGTGTGGAGACAGGCTCAGGTACAAGCTAATGGTGTTGTGGAGACTATGGTGAGGCCTAATAGAAAGCAGTTGTTGGGGGATTCCATCATAAAAGGTGTGGAGATGGACAATGGTGGTCTTGTGAGGTGTCTTCCCAGAGCTACTGCACACAGAGACAGGAGACGTATCTGTAATATTGTTAAGCGAGAAAAGCAGGAAAGGGAATTGGATGTACTTGTCCATCTAGGGACAAATGACTTGGCTTGCAATGAGGATTCAGAGGTTAAGGAAGTTTTTTTTGTGTTTTTGCCAATGATATACGGCAGGTTGCTTCCACACTGTCATTCTCTGAAGTTCTCCCTGTGCATGACACTCAGAACGACAGGCGGATGCGTATTAGGGACTTTAACTTGTGGCTTGGTGAATGGTGTCGGGAGCAAGGATTTGGCTTTATTTCTCATGGTAGCTCTGTTTGGAATGGAAATAAACTGTATAAAAAAGATGGTTTGCATCTTTCTCAAAAGGGAACAAATGTTCTCAGTGAGCAGTTCAGCGTTTTTGCTAGGGTGTATTTAAACTAGGAGGGGGGGCAAAAGGGTGATAAAACATCAATCCAATTGTCCCCCAAAACAAGGACAGAAGGTGCCTGTAGCAAGTGTGTTAAAAAATGATAAGCTTAGAGTCATGTCTACAAATACTCGCAGTTTAGGGAATAAGATCCATGAACTTGTGGCAATAATGGCAACTGATAGTGTAGATTTAGTCGCTGTTACTGAGACATGGTATAATGAGAAAAATGACTGGGACATAGCAATACCAGGGTACTCTTTATATAGGAAAGATAGGGAAGGCAAGAAAGGGGGAGGGGTGGCCTTGTATGTGAAGGATAGCATAAAATCTAGCCTAATAAAAGTTAGTGAGGCAAACATAGAGTCCGTTTGGGCTACGTTAGAATTTGGTAATCACACAGTAACTCGTGTAGGTGTGATTTATAGGCCCCCAGGACAAATTGAAGAGTTAGATAATCTACTAGTTGAGGAAATAGCTAAAATGACAATGAAGGGGGAAGTTATCATCATGGGTGACTTTAATCTTCCTGATGTGAACTGGAAAACAAAAATAGCTGCTTGTGCCAGGAGCACACATATTCTAAACTCCCTACTGGGATTGTCTCTAAAACAAGTTGTTGAGGAGCCAACTCGTAAAGAGGCCATACTAGATTTAGTGTTAACAAATGGAGATTTGGTATCAGATATTACTGTAGGTGAAAGTTTAGGATCCAGTGATCATCAGTCAGTGTGGTTTAATATAAGAACAGTGACTGAGTCACACCACACAAAAACAAAAGTTTTAGACTTTAGAAAAACAGACTTTTCTAAAATTAGAATATGTGTAAAGGAGTCATTATAAGACTGGAGCAATTTAAATGGAGTCCAAGAGAAATGGGATTATTTAAAAGTTGCACTACTGAAGGCAACAGAATATTGCATTAGGCTTGTCAGTAAAAGCAAAAAATTCAAGAAACCACTGTGGTACTCCGCAGATGTGACCAAAATAGTAAAAAACAAAAAGTTAGCATTTAGTAATTATAAAAAAAAAACCAGAGTGAGGAAGACAGAATGATCTATAAGATTAGGCAGAAAGAGGCTAAGCAAGTTATAAGAGCTTCCAAATCACACACAGAAGAGAAAATAGCACAGTCAGTAAAAAAAGGGGACAAAACATTTTTTAGATACATAAATGAGAAAAGAGAAAGTAAAACAAGGATTAGTTAGATTAAAAACAAAAGAAGGAAGGTATGTAGAAGAGGATAAAGGTCTAGCTGACTGCCTCAATGAATATTTTTGTTCGGTATTTACAGATGAAAATGAAGGAAAGGGACCTCAGTTAAGAAAAAGGATAAATGAGTCATTTATTACACGTGAGTTTACAGAGGAAGAGGTTCTATTTCAACTGTCAAAAGTAAAGACAAATAAGTCAATGGGACCTGATGGAATACACCCAAAGCTATTAAAAGAGCTTAGTGGTGTACTAGCCAAACCATTAACAGATTTATTTAACCAATCATGTTAACAGGAATAGTCCCAGAAGATTGGAAGTTAGCGAATGTTGTGCCCATTCACAAGAAAGGTAATAGGGAGGAGTCAGGCAACTATAGGCCAGGAAGCCTTACTTCAGTAGTGGGAAAAGTAATGGAAACCATGTTAAAGGATAGGATTGTTGAACATCTAAAAACACATGGATTTCAAGATCAGAGACAACATGGGTTTACTTCAGGGAGATCATACCAAACTAATCTTATTGATTTTTTTGATTGGGTAACTAAAATTATAGATCAGGGTGGTGCAGTAGACATTGCTTACCTAGATTTCAGTAAGGCTTTTGACACTGTTGCACATAGAAGGCTTATCAATAAACTGCAATCTTTAAGTTTGGATTCCAATATTGTTGAATGGGTAAGGCAGTGGCTGAGTGACAGGCAACAGAGGGTTGTAGTCAATGGAATATATTCGAAGCTTGGACTTGTCACCAGTGGGGTACCTCAGGGATCTGTACTTGGACCCATTCTCTTTAATATTTTTATTAGTGATATTGCAGTAGGTCTTGATGGTAAGGTATGTCTTTTTGCTGATGATACTAAGATATGTAACAGGGTTGATGTTTCAGGAGGGATAAGCCAAATGCAAATGATTTAGGTAAACTAGAAAAATGGTCAGAATTGTGGCAACTGACATTTAATGTGGATAAGTGCAAGATAATGCATCTTGGACGTAAAAACCCAAGGGCAGAGTACAGAATATTTGATAGAGTCCCAACCTCAACATCTGAGGAAAGGGATTTAGGGGTGATTATTTCTGATGACTTAAAGGTAGGCAGACAATGTAATAGAGCAGCAGGAAATGCTAGCAGAATGCTTGGTTGTATAGGGAGAGGTATTAGCAGTAGAAAGAGGGAAGTGCTCATGCCATTGTACAGAACACTGGTGAGACCTCACTTGGAGTATTGTACACAGTACTGGAGACCGTATCTTCAGAAGGATATTGATACCTTAGAGAGGGTTCAGAGAAGGGCTACTAAACTGGTTCATGGATTGCGGGATAAAACTTACCAGGAAAGGTTAAAGGATCTTAACATGTATAGCTTGGAGGAAAGACGAGACAGGGGGGATATGATAGAAACATTTAAATATATAAAGGGAATCAACACAGTAAAGGAGGAGACTATATTTAAAAGAAGAAAAACTACCACAACAAGAGGACATAGTCTTAAATTAGAGGGACAAAGGTTTAAAAATAATATCAGGAAGTATTACTTTACTGAGAGGGTAGTGGATGCATGGAATAGCCTTCCAGCTGAAGTGGTAGAGGTTAACACAGTAAAGGAGTTTAAGCATGCGTGGGATAGGCATAAGGCTATCCTAACTATAAGATAAGGCCAGGGACTAATGAAAGTATTTAGAAAATTGGGCAGACTAGATGGGCCGAATGGTTCTTATCTGCCGTCACATTCTATGTTTCTATGAATTTTCCCAGAATAAATCTAAAAGAAAAAAAATAAAACTATAATTATAACTACCTATTTTTTCAAATTTAGTGTCACATCTTCTGTCCTCCCCCATAGTGTGTATGTGGTGCTGGCATTGTTTGCCTTGTGTGTGTGTGTCCGTGCTGGCGGTATGTTGTGTGTGCGTTGGATGTATGTTATGGTTCTGTGTGCTGGGTGTATGTTGTGGTTGTGTATCTGATGTCTGCTGGCTGTATGGTGTGTGTTGTCCGATTGTAGCATGGTGTCTGCTGGCTGTATGGTGTGTGTGTTGTCTGATTGTAGCATGGTGTCTGCTGGCTGCATATTGTGTGTCTGCTGGCTGTATGGTGTGTGTGTTGTCTGATTGTAGCATGGTGTCTGCTGGCTGCATGTTGTGTGTCTGCTGGCTGTATGGTGTGTGTGTTGTCCGATTGTAGCATGGTGTCTGCTGGCTGCATGTTGTGTGTCTGCTGGCTGTATGGTGTGTGTGTTGTCCGACTGTATGGTGTGTGTGTTGTCTGATTGTAGCATGGTGTGTGCTGGCTGCATGTTGTGTGTCTGCTGGCTGTATGGTGTGTGTGTTGCCTGATTGTAGCATGGTGTGTGCTGGCTGCATGCTGTGTGTCTGCTGGCTGTATGGTGTGTGTGTGTTGCCTGATTGTAGCATGGTGTGTGCTGGCTGCATGTTGTGGTTGTGCACAGGAATTTCCAGCTATTTAGAAGAAATTATATTATCAGATTTCCAAATATGAAATATGTCAAAGAACAAAAAATATCAAAATAAATAACTAATGACGTTGTCTGTGGTTCTAATAAATAACAACCTATAAAGTGCCTTATAACCTTTCTGTCCATTAGGTGGCGCCATTAGCTGCAAAAATATACATTTGTTCCTTATACTATAGAGTCAGTGATCTCTTCCAGAGGGCACAGAAGTTAGAGAATATTAAGACATTGTGGTTTTTAAGAGCCATCACACCCTCATTTTATTTGTGGTTATCAATAGGTTTAAACCATTGCACTGTGTGAAACATATGATGCATCGAAAGTTTTTAATTGACTAACTTCCCCAAAAACACAGTGTTTCTACCTTTTCAACATCCGCCCGCATTACCTCCACTACCTGCGCTATATCCACTATCTTCACTACCAGCATTACCTCCACTATATCCACTACCTGCACTATATTCACTACCTTCACTACCCGCATTACCTCCACTACATGTACTACATCCACTGCCTGCATTGCCTCCACTACCTGCACTACATCCACTACCTGCACTACATCCACTACTTGCATTACCTCCACTGCCTGCACTACCTGCATTACCTCCACTGCCTGCACTACATCCACTACATCCACTACCTGCATTGCCTCTACTACCTGCACTACATCCTATACCTGCATTACCTCCACTACCTGCATTACCTCCACTACCTGCACTACATCCACTACCTGCATTACCTCCACTACCTGCACTACATCCACTACTTGCATTATTCCATGCCTGCACTACATCCACTGCCTGCATTACCTCCACTGCCTGCACTACCTGCATTAACTTCACTACCTGCATTGCCTCCACTACCTGCACTACATCCTATACCTGCATTACCTCCACTACCTGCACTACATCCTATACCTGCATTACCTCCACTACCTGCACTACATCCACTACTTGCATTATTCCATGCCTGCACTACATCCACTACCTGCATTACCTCCACTGCCTGCACTACCTGCATTAACTTCACTACCTGCATTACCTCCACTGATAAAATGAGCTGATTGCTCATTTTATCCTATCTGTTCAATATTTAAATAGATAATATTTTCTCTGCTCTGCATAATGTACTGAAAGTAAAATAAAATAATTTAATTACTTAAACCAGCAGTTGTGAAGAATTCATAATAAAATTAAAATTTTACGTCTAAATTGCTACATTGTAAAAGTAGTTGGATGATTTGTTGTTGTGTTTTACTTATTTAATGATTGACAAATGTAGGAGGTAGATTGGATTAAAATATGTGGACACAAATATACCGACTACAGTATAACAATAATAGTGTAATTCATATTAAATGATCAGATTCTAAGACCATATTTCCCACATTAGTTAGAGCATATTAACCCCTTAAATACACAAATTGTGTATATACGATTATAACTATCACAAATTTAATTGCTCATTGTATGCGCATGTATCAGAGTATATATGTGTGTGTGTGTGTATATATATCATAGTATATATAAATATGTTTGTGTGAATGTATCAGAGTATATATGTGTGTGTATCTGTGTGTGAATGTATCAGAGTTTATGTATACGTTTGTGTCAATGTATCAGAGTGTATATATATATACACGTTTGTGTCAATGTATCAGAGTATATATATATACACGTTTGTGTCAATGTATCAGAGTGTATATATACACGTTTGTGTCAATGTATCAGAGTATATATATACACGTTTGTGTCAATGTATCAGAGTGTATATATATACGTTTGTGTCAATGTATCAGAGTATATATATACACGTTTGTGTCAATGTATCAGTGTATATATATACGTTTGTGTCAATGTATCAGAGTGTATATATATACGTTTGTGTCAATGTATCAGAGTGTATATATACGTTTGTGTCAATGTATCAGAGTGTATATATATACGTTTGTGTCAATGTATCAGAGTGTATATATATACGTTTGTGTCAATGTATCAGAGTATATATATACACGTTTGTGTCAATGTATCAGAGTATATATATACACGTTTGTGTCAATGTATCAGAGTGTATATATATATACGTTTGTGTCAATGTATCAGAGTATATATATACACGTTTGTGTCAATGTATCAGAGTATATATATACACGTTTGTGTCATTGTATCAGAGTATATATATATATAAAAAACCAAGGAGAATAATCCTGCACTCCACATTACAAAAAATTAGTTTGCCCGGTGCTTGTCCAGCAAAATACAAAGGAGAGGATAAGATAGCACTCTCAGGACTATGTAATCCAAAATAAAACTTAAATTTTAATTAGCTTGTAAAAAAAAAATCGACGTTTCAGTCTGTTAACCACAGACTTTCATCAGGACTCCTTTATATATATATATACGTTTGTGTGAATGTATCAGAGTGTATATATATATATATACACGTTTGTGTCAATGTATCAGAGTGTATATATATACGTTTGTGTCAATGTATCAGAGTGTATATATATACGTTTGTGTCAATGTATCAGAGTATATATATACACGTTTGTGTCAATGTATCAGTGTATATATATACGTTTGTGTCAATGTATCAGAGTGTATATATATACGTTTGTGTCAATGTATCAGAGTGTATATATATACGTTTGTGTCAATGTATCAGAGTGTATATACGTTTGTGTCAATGTATCAGAGTGTATATACGTTTGTGTCAATGTATCAGAGTATATACATGTTTGTGTCAATGTATCAGAGTGTGTGCGTGCGTGCGTGCGTGCGTGCGTGCGTGCGTGCACACACATAGACAGGTAATGTGGCACATATACATGGGCCAGTATACTGTAGATGTGCCCAGCTGAGAGCTGAGTGTTTATGGGATAGAGTACATGTGGGAGGTTTATAGACTCTGTCTGTTACACATTTATTTCCTGCATTGTTTTCCTATATGTAACTGCATTATTTGGTCAATTGTTTTTCAAACCTTTTCTGCCCACTCCAAATGTTTGTTTTTGTTTCCATTACCTAATGCACTGTCTCTGCGTACGGAAATTGAAAATACATTGAAACATTGCTTTCTGGGAAACCCAAAGTATTCGTATTTTGTTTTGTTTTTTATAATAAGGGCTTAATAAACATGAGGCTGGGAATGTATAATCCAAAGTCTTGCTCAAAAAATGGATATTTCCAGAAATAATGAACTAACATTTGTGATTCCCATGTTGGTTCTTCACATTTAAAGTTCACTAAATGAACCCCCATGCATTTTCCTGGCAGGATACTTTATAGAAAACCGTGATTTATTATTAATGAGAATGTTTGGCTTTAGACAGATGTCTAAGGCAGATTATAAAATATAGACTATTTCGGAGATTGGCAGCCAAATGCGCTGCATATGGGACTTGTAAGATGCAGGTATAGCAGCTGAGACAGACCTTCTCATTAACCCTTTCGCTGCTGTTGTATATGTGGTTTACACTCATAGATAGATAGATAGATAGATAGATAGATAGATAGATTCGTGTTCGCAAGGGGTGTGTTTATTGTCTCCAGGCTCACCTGAACGCATGGACAAACTAATTCACGTTTTGTGTCACTCTAGGTTCCCTTGTTATCTGGTTATTGTGACAAATCCTGCAAACAGGCGTTCTATGTATACACAATGCTATCACTAGAGGAATTAGTGCCATTTTGTGCCTTGTCTAGTTATACTTTGTATTTAAACTGACCAGGGAATTGCTCTCTGATTGTGTACTGGATAAATGATCAGGAGGGAGATTGTGAATGTATTGATACACTGTCACAGAAACCAAACGTAAGGTAACATGGAGATGTTATAAGGACAAGACTGTATGATATAAACAATTAACTGTGACATGTAGCAATACCTTCTCTGTTAAATATTAGTTCTTATATGATCCATTATATATATCTCTCTATATACGTGTGTGTGTATATATAATTATATTTTATTAGGGTGTGCACACATTTACTAAATATTCACTCATAAATTACTTATTTATTTTTATTTATTCAAAAAACTAAAATCGAATTTTATACTTTGTCATATTTACCATCAACATTTTGCTTAACAATAGCAAACATAATATGTGATACACAAAGCACCAAATGCTGGCTTTAGTGCTAAGATTCCTGTCTTTTTCAATCTTATTCTATTACTCACAATACAAGTGTTATAAATTGTGTGTGTTTGTAGGTATGGATCTGACAGAGAGAGAAATAGTGCAATCAGCAGATTCATTGCATTCTGATCTTTCCTTCTTTCCATGTCTTTCTTGACTTTTGTATGTCTTTAAAAAATATATATTTTCATAAAAGGGCAAACAAAGAAAATGTCAAACACAGAAGTAAAAAAAACCATTTGTACATTTTCACATTTTGCTGAAAAATAAAGATTTTAATTTAACCCTAATGAATTCCTTGTCTGCATTTCACCCAGTTACACTGTGCTTCCATTTAAACAATTCATTTATTTATTGTTCTGTACTGAGTGTATTGCGTTTAATAAATATATCACCCTTTTAAATCGGTGAATATAATATATATAGAATATTACTCACCTTGTTATATCGCTGAATATAATGTGTATAATAACTCACTGTGTTATATAATTTAATATAACGTGTATAATAACTCACTGTGTTATATAATTTAATATAATGTATATAATAACTCACTGTGTTATATAATTTAATATAATGGATATAATAACTCACTGTGTTATATAATTTAATATAATGGATATAATAACTCACTGTGTTATATAATTTAATATAATGTATATAATAACTTACCTTGTTATATCACTGAATATAATGTGTATAATAACTCACTGTGTTATATAATTTAATATAATGTATATAATAACTTACCTTGTTATATCACTGAATATAATGTGTATAATAACTCACTGTGTTATATAATTTAATATAATGTATATAATAACTCACTGTGTTATATAATTTAATATAATGTGTATAATAACTCACTGTGTTATATAATTTAATATAATGTATATAATAACTTACCTTGTTATATCACTGAATATAATGTGTATAATAACTCGCCTTGTTATATCACTGAATATAATGTGTATAATAACTCACCTTGTTATATCACTGAATATAATGTGTATAATAACTCGCCTTGTTATATCACTGAATATAATGTGTATAATAACTCGCCTTGTTATATCACTGAATATAATGTATATAATAACTCACCTTGTTATATCACTGAATATAATGTGTATAATAACTCGCCCTGTTATATCACTGAATATAATGTGTATAATAACTCGCCTTGTTATATCACTGAATATAATGTGTATAATAACTCGCCTTGTTATATCACTGAATATAATGTATATAATAACTCGCCCTGTTATATCACTGAATATAATGTGTATAATAACTCGCCCTGTTATATCACTGAATATAATGTGTATAATAACTCGCCTTGTTATATCACTGAATATAATGTGTATAATAACTCGCCTTGTTATATCACTGAATATAATGTGTATAATAACTCGCCTTGTTATATCACTGAATATAATGTGTATAATAACTCGCCTTGTTATATCACTGAATATAATGTGTATAATAACTCGCCCTGTTATATCACTGAATATAATGTATATAATAACTCGCCCTGTTATATCACTGAATATAATGTATGTAATAACTCGCCCTGTTATATCATTGAATATAATGTGTGTAATAACTCGCCCTGTTATATCATTGAATATAATGTATGTAATAACTCGCCCTGTTATATCACTGAATATAATGTATGTAATAACTCGCCCTGTTATATCATTGAATATAATGTGTATAATAACTCGCCCTGTTATATCACTGAATATAATGTATATAATAACTCGCCCTGTTATATCACTGAATATAATGTGTATAATAACTCGCCTTGTTATATCACTGAATATAATGTGTATAATAACTCGCCTTGTTATATCACTGAATATAATGTGTATAATAACTCGCCCTGTTATATCACTGAATATAATGTGTATAATAACTCGCCC